AGAAAGTGAAAGTAAAAGCCGAACCCAGATTTACTCTCGTTTGGCATTTTGCCTCACTATAACTGAATGTTTTTGTGATGTGTCACTTGGATGTCTGCTGCTTACTGACCGGCACATGGTCACTACCTTTATATAAAGCCCCACCCTCACCTGAGCGCTGTGGGGGAACACATCTATATATTGTTTTTTATGAAAATCCTGAATAATATATCTTTAAGTAAGTAAAAGGGAAAAATGCCAAAAATTAGTTGGTTGCAGCTTCTAAAATGTGATGTTTAGCTACTTTTATTATGGGACATGAAACTAAATATCTTTTGTGTTTAGGACTAATTTTCAGAAAACCAAACATTTCATACACGTCACCTCTGGCCACCAGAAACTTGCAAGGGACAATTTTCTGACAATATACGATCCATTCAATGACTATATTAATCCGAAATTATTCAGGAGATTCATTGGTAATGAACATAAGGACGGTTACTAACGATCATTGTCATTATCAATTATTCATAAGATTATTTCTTGATTCAGCAATTCATTGTTTCAATAAAACACTTACAAAAAGTTGAAAAGGCACCCAGATCTGAGTGTGACGTAATGAAACGTCCATGAATGTCCATGATCCAAATACATACAGTTAACAATCATATTAAATAGGGACAAGCAGCAAATGTTTACATTTGAGAAGCTGTCAGGAAATGTTTCGCCCCCATTTTTTTTTTAACAAACAATGACTCAAATTGATTAACTGATTATCAGAAATGTTACTGAGGTTAATATTCTGTCAATGGATAACTCAATAAATTGACTGGTAATTGCAGCTCTCAAAGAAACTGTTAGTTGCAGCCCCCAAAAAATCATTTTCTTGGAGTTGTGCATTTCTGTAAACACAATAACGCAGCTCCAATTCCCCCTCATGACCACATCTTTTCTTTTGCTCTTCTCTTCAGGCAAGAGAAGCAAGAAACACCTGAAATATGATCTAGAAATAAACAGAGTGATGTCCAACATATGATTTCCATCAGCAGTAGCTGTAGCAGTGATGGGGACTCCCGGACATTTTGGGGCATGGGGGTAGACGAGTTCACCTCAGAGTCCCAGCTGGCAGACTGACAGCCAGGCAGGAGGGCGTTTGAACCCCACACACATGGGACATCTGACTGTTATCAAGTCCTGTGGGATAAAGCCATTACAGCCAGAGCCAGTAAAGCTGATTAACTCTCTTGTGTTTGCACCGAGCCAGAGAGAGAGACACAGACATGCATGATCAAGTTTGAAATAATACTCAGAGTAACATGCAAATAAACCCATCTCCCATCTGAAAAAAAAACTGCAAGATTGTTTGCCGCATTATCTGTTTGCCTCCCCTCCCCAACTTATGGGGGATAGCCTACTTAAAGTAAGAGCGGGGGAGGGGGATCCTGCATGAAATCTCCAAACAGGATCTCCATGCAATATGTAAAAAAACAATGATGAAAGGCTGGCAAACAAACAACTGATTAAAAAACTACGGTGCATCCCTGTGCACATCATTACATGGAGATGATGCTACTCTCAGTGTCCCAGATGCAACATGATGGGGGAGTAAAATGTGGAGTCTTTCTGTCTGAATAGACTTTTTAACTTGACAGCAACAATATTAAAAAGAAAGAAAGTCCAAGGGCACAGCAGGGTAAAGCTATTATCAATAAAACTCCCATCAATAAAGGTCAAAGCCAGAGAGAAGCCTGGGAAGGGTAAAAAGACAACATGATGGATGGAGAGTCGACAGAGGGACATCATGGGGGTGACAGCTGGGCTTTAAAGGAGATGTGTTTAGTTTTTCAATAATTCATACATTTAGATTATGCTTTAAATTAGTGAGCAGGTGGGAGTTGCTCAAGCATGTTTAAAACAGGTGATGGTGGGGACTGAACCCCAGACTGCCCTGTAAAGGAACAGTTTTGGTAACAGCTGCCTCTGGAGTAGAGATTAACTGAGCCTGCACAATACTGTCTTTTTACATGTGGATTTTGAATTTGGTGGACATATAAAGTGCAATGCAACAAATAAGCATTGCAGCCACGTTTGCCTGCCCCGTAACTTGTTGAGATAACATCGCCATACCTTGAGGTAGTCGTTTTCCGATCTCAGATCTTCCACCTCCCGCAGCAGGTCCTCCTCAGTTATATCCTTGGTGCCTGGCAGTCTGAATTGTGCGCCTGATGAGGATTTCTCCTGCTTGTGTTTCTCTCCGTGCGCCCCCGGAGCGGTCTGAGCCTGAGACATGCTTCCCTTGGCGGTGGAAGCGTCGGTTGTGCGCAACGGAGCAGCAGCAGCAGCCGCTCCGGTCGCTTCTGCCCGCAGCGGATTATCGCCTCCCACCTGATCCCGGTCACTGGAGCCGGTACCGGACTCGGCGTCGCTACTAGCGGCCGGTGCCAGCCTCTGCTCGTCCGACAGCGGCTCCGACGGGCAGTCTGAGAGGTCTGAGCTGCTGTCGGTCTGGCTGACCCGGCTGAGAGGCGCTCCGGTCGGTACCCGGATCGGGGATCCATGGCTGAGAGGGCCCGGGGACCCCGTGGCTAGTTTCCCCTTCTTGCCTTTGGCGAGGATCGGACTGCTGGTGCTGTCCAGTTTGATGCTGGCGGCTTTGGGCTCGGCTGCTGCATGCTGGGGCGCCTTGGTGGGCTTTTTCGCAATAGAAGACTTGGTGTTACTTTTTGCCGTGGCTGGTTTCTCTTTGGCCCCAGTTGTGTTGCGTCTGGAGCTGCGGTTCGGATGGGCCAAGGGCACTGAGGGAGGCTGCTGCTGCTGCTTATTGAGTTTGGGGGATTTGGGTACGATGGCAGGTGGCTTGGTGGAGCGGCTGTGCACATCCTTGATGAAAGGTCTAGCCGGGGAAGGCGCTCGGTTCAGTCTCTTCTTCTCCAACTGGTGGTTCTGCGGTTTGGTGTCGCTGCCAGAGCCATTGGAGCTCTCCATTATACACCGACACCGGCAGCAGGAGGGCGATGAAGGAAACGATCAATCCACAGCACCGCGGAAAATCTCTGACATGCGACACCAGAAAAACAGCCAGGTTGCTCTACCTTCTTCCTTGTCGGGCTGGGGATGCGCATCATGCGCTGTGCTTGATGTTTTACTCCATCTCGTCTGCATTCACCAGGTTGTCATTGTAGTCCCCTCTGCTTGTAGCCTCCTTGGAGGAAACGCTGCAATAGAAAAAGGATTACTGGGACGGATGGGATGACAGACAGGTTGCATCTGCAGGCAGGGCTAGTAAGGCTTAAGTTAGAAAGAAAGGAGTCAGTCGGAGTCACATCGGCCCTCTTCTTCCTCTGCACATCGGGTCTCCATCCTTCTGTTACACCCGGGCTGTAAGTGTTCAGGCCCCCGTGTCTCGTACCCCCTTCCCACTCCTTCCTATCTGACATGTAAGATCTGCAATCGCTGCGGTGTGAGCCTCGACGCCCGTGATTTTCTGCGGGGCGCATGCGCTGCTGCCTCACAAGCACCCAAGCACACCCCTTGTTTTCTCTGGGACCAGGCGGGACCAGGTCTGACACGCTTTGGTGCGCATGCCCTAATGACACACACTCTATTGGCTATTAAACACCTTCACGCGAGATGCAGAGATGGATTCAGGAGGAACCAATACTCACCGTTTCCTGTGGGAAAGCTTGTACTCAATATCTCTAAATCAGATCCTCTGATCAATGGTTTTATATCTCAGACACCAATCTAAGACATAATATCTGTACTGCAAACATCACTTCTGCAGCATCTTTCATCTGAGGTGAAAGAAAGGCAGCTGCAATCGAGGAAATGATAGTTTATGTATTCCTAGAATCAACTCAAAGACCCCTGGGACGCCACACATCCTAGTTTTGGGAAGACACAGTCACAGAAAAAAATCAAGACCATAATCTGGTAATAAATATAGATATCTTTAATTGCATTTAATTAGTTCAAGAATGCCACAAGTTATAAATACCACAAATCTGCTTTAGACATGCCAAAACTGTTCAAAGACTTATAACAGGTTTAATACAAAGTACAGTCTTCCATCTTTAAAGGATACACATTTCAAATAAAAGCATTTCTTAAAATGTATGTTTAAAACACTGAGTAGTATAAGGCTTGGCTATTAATTAAACAAAGACCACAGGGTTAGTGCCAAATGCTAAAAGTCAGGGGGGGGGGGGGGGGGGGGGGGTGGGGGGGGGGGGGGGGGGGGGGGGGGGACAAATGAAAGGTTTCATTCAACTAAACAATATCAAAAGAAGTCTGTCATGTCAAAATATAAGTGATAACATTTGTGACGTTGCAGATCATTTGTATGGTTGTTTGCTGGCTGGTAATCTTATTGCAGTGTGTGCTTGGGTGTCAGTAACTGTTTTATCGGCAAAGTTCTTCCATTTTATTGTTTTGGTATGAAACTCTTCATTTGTTAGAATACATAATGTGCCAGTTTAAGTCCATAGAAGCTCGACTTTAACATTAAACTTCAACAAAAAAAAAATAAAATTAACCAACAGTAAGTCAGTTCAGGTCGTTTTAAAAATCAGGTCCTTTGAACGGGCTCGTCCTTCCTCACCCTCAGACTTCGACACGTAAAAACAAAACAGAGACACTCACAGTGCTACAATATTGCATTAATTTAACAAAAAAGACGGAAGAATTAAACGACTGTTAATGTCTCTGAACACAGGAGGGCTTAACATGCATTGCCTTTTTTTTTTGGAAATGTACAAGTGATGTGATACACCCATACTGGTCTGTAACAAACTGCCCAATCATTTAATTAAAAACTGATCACCTCCTCAGATAAAATGCAAACATCCCCTTCAAGCAGAATTTATAAGAAGATTTCTAAATTTGTTATGAAACTCAAATCAAGTCTGCGATAAAAGCCCGTCAGAATAAGCAGATACGAGCCGATCAAAGTTTCCTGAGTCCTTCAAATACTAAACAAACCTTCCTGCGCTTTCAATCCCGAAAGGGAACATCAAAAAATCTTCTCTAAGCTGTATCTGAATTCAGAGGAAAAACAAAAAACACTTTGCAATATTAGTAACAAAAACAAGGGCTAAAACCATGTGTGTGTGTGTGTGCACTAGCTACTCACTGTCTCTACTTCCTTTAAAAAGCCAGTAACACACATGGAGAATGCCCCTGTGAAAACACCAATCCCTCAAAGACTACATTACCCATCTTTCCTTGCATCTCCTTCCCACTTGTGGAGGAGTTTAGAGCGGCCACTACCGAGGCAACATCGATCCTCGCTAAACTACAAGTCGTGTACTTTCTGTTTTCTGCATGTCAGCTTAACTAGGTAAGATGGATTGTAGTGCAAAACATTACAATTTATACAAACGTGAAACGAGCCGTTCCAAACGCTTTAACACTTTAAGGCAAAGGAATAAAAACTGATATGATCCACCACCACGCAACCACCTACTGCCAGCCGCAAAAACCCTGCACCTTGTCCAGTCATTACAGCAGCACACCATATTTACACCATGTGCTTTTGTTTACCTCAAGTCAACTCGTCACTTGGTAATAATATCTATTAATATAAAACTACTGTACCTAGATCCAGAATTTTAACTAAGTCGAAGAGACGTAAGATATTGTTATCCCTTTTCTGTAAGCTAGAGAACGCAGAGATACCAGACCCTCAGACAATGTCAAACTTAGTGTACAGTATGTGTGATGACTACTCTTTAAAAGAAAACAGGAAGCTGTAAGGCCCTCAGTAATCACCCTCCATGTGAAATGTGCAACTGCTACCAGAGGGCTCTCTACCTCAAAGGCACCTGTGGGGCACCGCTAGCCTAACGGTCCAAGGAATGAGGTAGTCTGGGTCAAGTGTAGACAGAAGGGGTGGTAGAAAGTGGGAGATTCACCAGGCCTAAGTGTTAGTGTAGTTCATGTCATAGTGTACAGTTATGAAACAGGAGAAGAGACAGGGGAAGATAATACTGGTTGTTGAGAGAGTCCATGCATCTTACATCAGCAGTCAGTAATTCCAAACTGCTGCTGTTTGCTGCCCCCTGGTGGCCAGATTGGTACTCTGCATGAGTGTGTGTGTCTGTGTGCATGTGTGTCTGTGTCCGTGTCCGTGTCCGTGTGTGTGTGTGTGTGTGTGTGTGTGTGTGTGTGTGTGTGTGTGTTTAGGATGGGGGACCACTCTGACTCTCAACAACAGCGCATGCGGGGAGGCGGCAACTCCGGAGGCACTTCCGGTTCAGGCTGCAGAGACAGGACGCTGTTGGAAAGCTCATTGTTGGGAACTTCCAGAGGCATCTGTGGTATCAGGAAGAAAAGGACAAGTCAGGAAACAGGGTTAATTCATTGAGTATTTTAGGCGGTGCTCCCACATTGATATCCACAGTCACGTATGTCAAGGGACCAAGCTAGAAGGAGCACAGCATCTTGATAATATTCCTGTGACTGCAGAAGGTTTTTGAAACAGAAAAACACTCTGAAAAGAAATATTCTAAAAATCTCTAACATAGTTTATCATTTAGGCTGAACAAGAGTCACAAAGAAATGTGTGTACAAAGAATGGTTAATTAAGAGAAGTGTATTTTTACTGTAATAACCTTCTGATGACAACAATGCTGGCAGAACGTGTTGAATTTAGTTGGATTAGGACAGTATTGTATTGACTTGTCATTTGGATATAATTACACAACTGGACTACAGACAGAGCAGATATTCTGTTTCCAGAAATACTAAAGGCACTGTTAACAAAAGCTCAACCCATAAACCAGTCAGCTGATATTATCGGCTGAAATCAGCTTAACTATCGGCACATATGTCAGCTCATAAGTGACAATAAACTGCAGCACAACTCATCCATGCCTTCATCACATCCAGAATTGACTACTGTACCAGCACTCTTTATGGTACACCATTCAACCTCCTAATTAAACTCAAATACATCCAGAACTCGCTGCCCGTCTGCTCACCCATTCCCGCTCCTGCAATCACATCACCCCTGTCCTTGAGAACCTCCACTGGCTCCCTGTGCCACAACACATCCAATTCAAAGCCCTTCTCCTGACTTACAGAGCCCTCCATAAGCCCTCCGAGCACTCCTCTGATGCCAACCTCCTGACTCCACCGCTCAGGACCAAGCCTTCTCTATAGCCGCCCCCTCCCTCTGGAACACTCTCCCCGAACACATTCGAGACTACACTTACCTCTCCGGGTTCAAATCACTGATCAAAACACATCTTTTCAAGAAGGCTTTTAATGTGTGAATGATGTTGTGTGGATTTTATTATAGACTTTTTTATGATCGTCTTTAACTAATGTAAAGTGTCTTTGAGTACCATGCAAAGCACTCTATAAATAAAATGTATTACATTACTGTTGCAGTAATTTAAAAACAGTGTCGCCATTCATTTGTGACAAGGCGCCAGGACACCAGGAGAGGCAACACATGGGCCTCGATTAACGTTAACAGTTGCATCGCATTACACAAAACCTAATTTGGACAGTCTGTCTAAAGGAAGTGTCTACCAACGGAGTCGAAAATGCAACACAATTTTAATTGTTTAATAGAGGTATCACATCATGGCTAACAGAGAAACATTGTTCTCACTCTACCACAGTAGAGACACCTGCATTTTGTTTATAGATTTGTGGGTATATTTTCTTTTCTTTGTTCTATTTTCATTTTTTTAAAAAGTCTTCTGTGAGCAGGTGTTGCAAAGTAGCGTTTAGCTACAAATAAACACAGTGCATCTGTCTCTTGTGCAGAAATGTATGTTCCTATTCTGATGCTACTGTAATGTCCATATCAAATAAACGACATAGTTTGTCCAGCAGGAAGTACTTAAAAACTACATATATTTTGCATGTATTTTGTCACAGTTCCTTACTAAACAAATCCTTACTTAAAGAAATGCTTATTAAATGCTTTTATCAGACTTATTCATTGTCATCAGATTTTTGGTCAGGCTTTACCTTGCTAAGAATGTCATCCACAAGCTTCAGGAAGATCTCATCGACGTTAAAGTTATCCTTGGCACTAGCTTCGCAGAAGCGCATTCCACTTATTCGAGAAGAAAACTGCAACACAAATAGAGTCAAATCAGCTCAAAGAACAACTGAATTATTTCACAGGAGCAGAAATCAAGCTGAACACAACTGGAATCTTCATGACAAAGTCTACATTCAAGAGTTAATGGAATTTTTGGATAAGCATGCTGTAATGCTACACTTAATGTCAGTTTCTGAAGGAGGGTATCAGTGTTGTCAGTGTGTTTCAAGCAAACAAAGTCCATATGTTCAAACAAGTCACTGGCATATTGAAAGCATCTATCTGTTCTACATTATTTTCTCCCCCTGCTTTCATTTGTGACTGGACTTTCTCAAGATGTTCTGCTCATAACACATATTAAAACATCACTTGTTTGTAATCCCACATATTCTTTTAGATAATTTCATCTAAGATTTATAGTAAAAAAAAAAAAAAAAAAAAGTGGTTTGGTCATATGATGGTGAATGGGAGCGTTTGTGTGTTGAACTCACCCTCTCTCCCTGCTGTCTGGAGATGACACGATCAGACTCACAGTCCAGCTTGTTTCCGACCAGCAGAAGCTCTGCTTCCTCTGAGGCGTACTGACACAAAACAGAAAGAAGAGAGGAGACCCATCAGGACACGTTCAGCCCCACATGTCACACAAGTCAAACCACATTACCACAAGAAAATGTGTTCAGCAAACTAAAAAGCAACCTCGACAAGCAACAACTAAAGGGGAACTTCACAAAAATGACACACTGAGGTTGTAATGCTTAAAACTAAACATTTTCTTACACATGTATTTGTCACAATTTTATGCAGTGTGATTTGGCAACATCATTCATAACATATAAGTTAAATTCTGGTGAATTTACCTATTATGATACAGTGACAGCAATATAAATATGAAAGGACTCTGAGGTCATAATATGCTCCATTGTTTGATCTATTAGCATGATGCTAAGGTGGGCGTTATAATGAATAATGAAAATTTATGTTAACATATATGCACCACCCCCGTAAAAAAAGAAGAAATTCAAGCCACTTGGGACAGAAAGTTCTACCATTTGAAAGCCAAACCAATCAACTGACCAGACAAATATACTGGTCAATATTAGCTATAATTTTTTGGTGTATGTCAACCAATAAATAACGAGGAATTGACAAACTGAAATGCCAGATATGTTTTGAGTATCACAATTCTACAGTTTGTACACCAGATATAACTAATGAGTTTATTTTCAACTGTAAAATGTCCTTCTCAGTACATTTACTTGTCACAAGTGTTAGAAAAATAAAGGGAACATTATTAAAAATGTATATTTATGTTGTGGAATATGCAAATAAAAGTCACATTTTTAAACTCCCAAATATCCATATCTCTATTGGTCACAAAAATCCAGTATCCATCAGGCCATATTAAAGTGCTTCTACAAAGTGACACCTTGAAAAACACCTCTAATTCATGTAACTGCTGCCACTGCCGGTGAGATGAAAGACAAAGAAAGAATTGAAGGTCAATATCAGTGGAGGTATGACAGGCAATGTTACTGGATTTAATTTTTATGTAAGTATTTTAAAAGCCAGATGCATGACAGAATCCAAGATCTTTCTATTATAAGCAGAATACATCTAGAGACGACAAAGAAAGGACACATTCCATCTAAGTCCAGTAGTCTGAGAGTTTGTTTACCTTGTCTATCATTTTCATCCATTTGGGCAGATCGTCAAAGGTCTCCTGCTTTGTGATGTCATACACTAGCACTATTCCCTTGGCGCCTCTGTAGTAGGCTGATGTGATGCTGTTGAATCTCTCCTGGCCAGCAGTGTCCCTGGATGACATGAATGAATCCCAGCACAATTAAAAGTCTGTGCCGTCAGTTCAGGATCACCACGACTTCACTGAATACCAAACAGCTGATCGATTTGACCAAAGGTATTTTTCATTCATTAAAGGAATACTTCACCTCCAAAACAGTTTGTATATCAGTTACTCAGTGCATGTTTGGGTTGAATATGTAAAGAAATCTGTGTTACTCTCACATGCCTCCAGTAAACAGAGAATCCAAAAAACGCTAACATTCTTCATAAACTACAGAAAACGGTGACTGCGTTTAACAGCAAAACTAACAAAGCAGGCTTTTTACAACCTCTCGCACAAGTCCTGCAATATAATACAGGTATCATATGCTCAGTACTTTCCAAACATCTATAACCCATCAGTGCAGTCTCACGCATGGCCGAGTAGTGTATCTGGGAACGCATGTGCGTCTGAACTATGCTCAAGCAGAACTAAGGCAGAACTAAGGAGCTAAGGCACGTTCAGGGTGCGCCACTCAAACGCTAAAATGTTTTATATTTTAACATTTTAGTAGAAATGCACGTGTTTGGGTAGTACTGAGCAATATGACTGAATAAATGAGACTTGGATTGTACTGCACGAGTTGTCTGAAAGTTTGTAAATGGATGTTTTGATGTGGTTTTGCTTTTGTTAAACAGGGTTCTCAATTACTTCAATTCATCACAAATTTTCTCAGTTTTTGGATTCTTCGTTCATATTGGAGGCATGCAAGAAAAACAGTTTATTTTTGCTAATTCAAAATAAAACCAGGTGCATAACTGATATGTTATAATAGTTATTCTGTGGGTGAAGTGTTCTTTTACTGGTAGAATGGGAGAAAGAATCAGTTTTGTACATTTTACATTATTCAAAGTGTTTCAGATTATTTTAGTTCGTATGTACATCATTAATTTGAAAATACTAAATTCCATTTCATGTGGGTTATATCTGGTATACACATTATCATCTAGTATCTAGCTAAAATAAAAAAAGGGCATCTGAAGACTTTTGTTCCAAAATGAGACGTCTACAATTAGAGAAAAAGATGACATTCAATGTACAGTCAGGAAATGATTGCTAACTCTAACACTTTAGTTTAACAGCCCCTCCTATTTAGAATTCATAAGCAGTATATAAACATTTCAGAATTAGTGGTGAACAATCTATAAAGTAAACACATGTTCATTAATGTATTTGGCAACAACTAAAACTCCTCCTATGGACATGCACAAGTGGAGGCTGGTATATAAACAGATAATTAAAGACAATATAGTGAAAAACTGTTGTAATGATGCCAAATGTGTCTACAGAAGAGACGTTATCATGGTTGAAAATACTGCACATTAATAACACTTTCAAATGTCTTTACATCTGCTTAAATCTACATTATGTGTGTTTATTATTACCATTTATTAAATACTTCATACTGCTTATAAATGCTAAAACTGTTTCCATTAACACAAAATGAAAATGAGCAGTAACAGCTATTACAGGTTGATCATTAAGAAGTACAGGCACTTGACATTAAACCAAACTAAATCTACTGCATTTTGGATTTATTTTAGGTTACATTATGATTCAGCTGATCATCTGAGTCAGGGTTAGCAGCATGATAATGCACATAGAGCTGCGCTCAGAGTGCAGTGTTACTGTACCTTCAGCCAGCCAGTCTCTCCCTGTTCCCATTGTGAGTCACAGTCAGGCTTATGAGCAGAAGAGCGGACAGAGACACAGCAGCACAGTGGCAGGGTTAGGTGAGGCCGGGTGTGACAGTGATGGAGCTTGATGTAAGCAGTTCAATGTGACAGACAAGACACACTGAGGATGGCCCTCTTGAAGGGACAGGTCGCAGAGTGGGCGAAGGAACGGGGATAAAACGGGAGGTGGTAAAGGGTAGATGTGATGTAGAGATGAGAGGGTGGATGGGGTGTTAATGAACAGGACAGGCGGGTTAGTGAAATAAGTGATGGCGTTTCCCCGCTTTAGCCCAACACTGTCGCACACAATCAGTGCAGTCACTAGATGTTTTCAAAATGTAATTAAGTCTAGTTAAAGTCACAAGACACAAGCGGAGTCCTGATAGACTCAAACCACTGAAATAACGTCATCCCTTTCACTGGTGGTCTATTCAAGATATCTGAATCCATGTCCACATCTCTGATTCTTAGAACAATTAAATATATCAGAATAACTAAGAAATTGGCTGTTCAGTCTGATTATCAAACTACAATAACACTGAATGTCTCGGTGGCCAGTTGCTATACAACTGACTATTCACTGACATGTATTGTATTAAACATGAATGACTAACTGAAGGATGAGGGTATTGTAGCATAAGTTGGCTTTTTTCTTGGTGTATCTTGTTATTTGTATTACAGCAAGACAATGTTCAAAGAAATCAAAATTACAACCACTTATTAGTACTTTAAAAATAATCAGTTAAGGGGGTTACAGCTGACTTTGGACTATGACAACCAATTCTGCAGGCAAGTCAGATTAGGGCAGACAGAAAAGCAAAGAAATGATCACTTCAAAAATTGTTTTTAGTGTACACTGTAGTTTACAAAAATACTAAGTAAATATGCTAAATTAGATGTACGCATATAAATATGGTAATGTTAGCCCTGCCATTTATTTTTTAACCACCAGCAAGCAGCCTCATCAAGAGGGCATATTGTATACAGAGGTTCGTGTTGTCCTGATGAACAACTAGCGGTGGCTGGCTGCTCACTTGCAAACACCATTAATAATTCCACTGGTTGAAATGCGCAACCGAGTTGCAACTTAGGTGCTACTGCTGGGGTCTGAATATTGCCTCTGCATCCCTAGCAAAGTGTTTTGCCTCTCTGTCCTGATTTTACTTTTAAACATTTAACTGTATTAGAATCAAGTGCAGTTTAACCTTGAAATCAGAGGAGGAATCATATGGGATTTGATGAACTATGTAAAAATATTATTTTTCAATTATTATGTGTGTTTTCTGAGTGTTTCCAGTTTTCATATATGTGTGTACAACAGAACCTGACTACCAATAATAACTTGATCGCAAACTTTAAACAGCAACATGGTGTATAATCATGTGCTGCTTCACATCAAGTTAAAAGTTATAATTACTCTTGAGGCACATGTTTTTAATATGGGACTTTGAATAAAAAATTTCTCATGGCATGTCAGTGGTTGAAAACACATGTTTTGGCAGTCCAAAACATGTGATAGCGTGTGATTTGGAAATCTTATTTGCACATGCATCTCCTACAAAGCTGACATGTAAGCCACCAGTAGTTTTTGTTAGAGCAGCCTGCAGGATGACAGAACAGACACAGGAAAATCACCATGCACCACTCTGTCCAATTACTTACCATATCTGTAGTCTGATCTTCTTTCCTCTCAGCTCTACTGTCTTGATTTTGAAGTCAACTCCTATGAGGAGAATCAGAAAAACACATGTGGACACATACAAGCACAAGCATTTCCTGTGTTGTTCTTGCAGGTAGTTATATCTGTGTCACACTTTTAAAAATCTGTGCACCACTATAGTGGTCCTCTAAGAGAACAAAGAAAATTTGAGATGAGAAAAAAACATTTTCAGCCAGACTTGAGAGACAGTCAAACTATTCCCTCCACAAACTCCGTGATCAAAACACAAGATTAGTGAGGAGCTGTGTCACAGGAATGACAGGGCACAAAATGGAGCTCTGCCATAGCAGCTACTTGTGTGTAACTATTTAAGGATTGGACACTATGGCTGACTGTTGTTTTGATCACAGGACTGTTTACCCAATTCCACATATAGTATGAAGGACTTTGTGTATTTTAGGCAGCATCTATGATCATGGCACAGCAATTGGTCACAAGGTACTCTTACTATCAATACAAGTTAGCCAATTTGTTAAGGTGATAATGCGTTTGTAAGTAGAAATATGTAATGTATCAGCTATTAATATAAGATTATGAAAAAACAGCTGCTCAGAAATGCAGATGGCATTCAATGACAGCACTTGATGGGACAAGTTATACTCTCATTTAAATAAACTAAACAGGCTCACCAACAGCAAATTAAATTAACTAATTACACGACAGCTGCAGATGCTATCCAAGTAACAAGTTACCAACTCTTTTTCTTACTATATTTGGTTCTAAACTCCCTGCTAGACATCCTCATTAACAATGCAACAACCCCGCAAATCATTAACGCAAGCTTCAAACGCGTGCTTGTTTAATGGCTTCATTGCTACATAGTTCAACAGCTAAGGTAGTTTTGTTAGCTAGGGCAGAGTTGTTGTCACCGTTAGCTTAAGTTAGCTAGCAGCAACCAGTAGTGTACCCGCTATTCACTCCCATTACACCGTTAATTAGACGAAAATATGTTAATAACGTCCTGCGCATGGCAGTTTAAGTCTCTTTCCTCCAGTAAGTAGACAGAGCCCTGCTACATGCTGTCAATAAAAAGTTGACAAAAACAAGTCGTGTAAACGCCTCATGTCCTCACCTACGGTCGACTTGCAAGCTTCGCAGAAAGTGTCATCGGTGAATCTCTCCATGATACTGGTTTTACCAACACCCCGGGAGCCAATAATGATAATTTGAAGTTTGAAATCAGCGGGTCTGGGAGGCATCTTCCTGCGGCGCGACTGGGCCCCCAGAGCGGGGGACGAGTTCGCGGAGCCCCCGCCGCCACCGGCGGCCCTCCGCGGTATGTCATATCTGGAATCCATCAGTAATTCCACATTTGTAATGATAAGTAAAACAGACAAACGTCCCTATACTGTAATACAACCGAAACAATGCGCTATATCCAACTTTCTTTTGTCTCCGAAGAAGTTTGCGAAAGTTTGTCACTCGCCGACAGTTGTTGTTGTTCAGCCATTAGAGACCGCAGCCGTCATGATGTCATTGACCGCACTACATCATATTTCCGCTTCCGCCGCTTATCTATAATTTTCCAATTTATCTTTTTCTCCTAAAACAATGATTTGTGTTTTGCACTGATTTTAGAATAAGTGAGCTGTGAGTAGCAATGAGCTGATGACTCCATGAAGTGACCTACACTCACAGTATTTTCATTCTGCATAATTTAATCAGTGAGGCTGAATTACTGTGTGGAGGTATGGGGCACACTTAGAAAAGCACCTCACATCCATTATGCATATTGGGAAAGGGGGGGCATAATAATGCAGGATTTTTCAAACACACTTAATCTCTGTTTTTATGGTCAAATGCCTTGAAGTTTATGGATGTAGTAGAATTTCAGACAGCACAAATAATGTATGTAATTAGCTAGGCAATATACCAAAGATGTTCCTTGACAAGGAGGGCAGTTATAATTTCAGAGGGCAGCTTAACTTGAGGAAACTTTGTGTTCACACAGCCATGAAGAGTAGGCTTATGTGTGTTTCAATCTTTGGGGTCAAAGTGTGGAATTTGTTGGATGAGGAGCTTAAGCGAAGCACAAACATTACTTAGTTTAAGGAGATGCACAAAAACTTTGTTTTCCAGAGGAAAGACTGTGAAGACAGCCAACTTTATGACTCAGTATAACATCGGTGTTGTACATACAGTTGAATAACTGTTAATAAACAGTTAATGTGTGTTTGTGTGTGAGCATGTCTATACATGTATGTCTAAACTGTCTAAATGTCTAATGTCTAAATCTGTGTCTAAATTCACAGGGTGATACAAGTCAGATAATGTGGGTCAGATAAAGTTTTACCTCTTGTGCTCTTTAAATATTTGCAGTCAGTCACTAAACATGTTAGTGCACAATTTCTTCTTAAAATGTCTTTTGCATGAAACAGTAGTTTTTGTTGTTCTAAGATAACCAGGATGGGCAGAGCAAAGAGTCCACACATCACGGTTCCCAAACTTGCAAGGTAAACCATGTGGCATATTGATTTCTATCATTTTGGCTATACAAGTCCTGCAGTCCTGCAAGTCCTGTCCTGCAGACAGTGAGGATATAACAACAAAAATGGTTGTAGGATGTTGAATTTTATTTAATGTTTGACTTATAATCAAAATATTTTCACAATGCACTTGACTTTTTTTGGGAAAGGGTTTTGAGTCAGTACTTAATGCATTCAGGTAAAATGGGACAAAAAAATTAAGTAAAATGAGACATTTTTGGAATGTGAAACCCACATGTTTTTTGGCTCCCAGGTGCCATAAAATCACAAGTTATGCTATTATGTGCCACCCTGTCATATTAAAGACATTTTAGTGTTCTTGTCATTTAAAATAAATGAAAGATGATGCAGTGAGCCCATGTCAGCCACACTAGTCAAGAATCAGCCATAATTGTAACACAGGTCCATTGAAGACAATATGGTGCTAAGAAAACAAGCAAAGTACAGGGAAAGATTAGCCAAAAAGAGAAACAATCTTTTTAAATGAACAGCCACAGGTTACATGAATGATTTCATAAATTAGTATCTGTATTGATAAATGGGTTTAACCATTTAAATGACAAACAAACACTGTCCCATTTTACCTGAACATATCATCAGAGTGAGGTAGGGGTTATTGATGTGTTCGAAGGTCCAAAGTTTCTAAACTATTTTACTTGGCAACATATTTTCTTTATAAAAATACAGCAGAGAACCATAACAAGTCATAAGTAACACTTAGTATTCAGAGTTTTGGTTGGTTTTCTTGGTAATCTACCAAAAGGTGACCCAAATGACCGGCTTCACTCTGGATATATCTGGACATCCATTTATTTCAAGTATTGCATTTTAGCTTTTTTTAATCTTTTTGTTTTATTTTGTTTGTGTTACATGTTCCAAATAAATACCAATCATGATTCTGTCAAATTGTAAATAATAAATTGGTTTTATGTATATTTTTATTTAGAATACAAATCCCGTTGCTTTTGCATTACAGCTAGTGTTTCGCATTCAACTCTACTTTGTCCTCGGCGGCACCCGTAGCCTGCGACATCGGATGACGTTGCGCCCGAGGAGGAGTTCCTGTTAATCCAAACATCGACGAAATATCATCCATAGCTATTTATCGAAAACAAATTCTTGATTCGTCGTCGCGTAAATTAAGAGCATGGCTGCTCAGAAGATAAATGAAGCTCACGAACACATAGCTAAAGCTGAGAAATGGTGAGCGAAGAATTAAAATGTCGTTTCTGTCCTGCCCAGGAAACAGTAGCTTGTTTTACTACCTGTGTTAGCTAGCTGCAAAGGCCACTGTGGCAGTTTCACCATGGGTTATGCGACATAAATGGACAGTAATTTTGCACCTTCAGGTCATTATATGTGAAGTTAATGTACAATAAATGAGACACCATCTTGTCTTGGTGTGTAACTGTCCATAAACTGATGGTGCCGCTGATTCAGCCGTTTGTAATCTGCTAATTATGTTTTTGTAGCTTAAAGACAGGTCTGACAAAGTGGAAGCCTGATTTTGACAGTGCTGCGTCAGAATACGCCAAAGCAGGTAACCTAACATTAATATTAAATCTTAATATGAAGTTAATAATCAACAGATATCTCATGGTTATATCGCTAACCAGCTGTCATTTTTCTTCAGCTGTGTGCTTCAAGAATGCGAAGCAATATGACCAAGCAAAGGATGCTTACCTGAAAGAAGCTGAATACCACACAGAAAACAAGGCGTATCCTCTCTGCACTGTGTCCACAGTGACATGACATTACACATGCTATCTGTTTTGTAATTTCCTTAACTTGCCCTACAGGCTTTTTCATGCTGCAAAGTGAGTATTCTGTGTTATAACCTCAGTATTAAACCAACAGCAAACATGAAAACCACTTGTTTTATTCAAACCCTCTTCCCTTTCCTCAGGGCTATTGAACAGGCAGGTATGATGATGAAGGTGAGTGCACCCACAGCTTAAACATTAAACAGATAGACATAGGTAAAACATCTGCAGCAGAGCTGTAACTCTGCTGTGTTTGCACTGTGACAGGAACAAAAGAAGATGCCAGAGGCCATCCAGTACATAGAGAAAGCCTGTATGATGTACATGGAGAATGGGACTCCTGATACTGCTGCCATGGCTCTGGACCGGGCTGGAAAGTAAGTTTACCTTTGACCTTCAATTAAATTCCTCAAGCTGTCAGCCTTGATATTATCTAGAAATGTACCTTTTAGTTCAAATGAAAAACCTGCCACAAAAGGGAGCACTGATGCAATGCAAGCTTCGCTCAGGAACAAAAAATGCAGGCTGTTCTTTCATCTAAAAACATTTTCCTTTCATTATTCCCCAGACTGATAGAGCCTATAAACCTAGAGAAAGCTGTGGACCTATATCAGAAGGCAGCTGGCGTGTTTGAGGTAGAATTCCAACAAAACCTGAATGAATCATTTAAATTAAACTGATGCTGACTGTTTCTTTGTGCTTATATACAGCCATGTTTTCTCTCTCTGTAGAATGAGGACCGCCTGCGTCAGGCAGTTGAACTGCTGGGAAAAGCCTCCAGACTTCTGGTCAGGTTAAGAAGGTAAAAGAAATGAAGATAAGGTGGAAGGGACATTGACACTGTTGTGCATTGAATGCTGATGTAGAAAACTGTCAAGCAAGTTGAAAGAAAACCTTCATTCAGAAAGCTCTCTTAGATCTCTCCCATAAACAAAAGTGTAAAAGCTGATTCAAATATTCACCTGTCACTGTAATAAAAGGACACAACAACCCTGTGTCCCCTGTGTTTATCTGTCTATAAATAATGTTTAAAGCACCTGCTCCTCATCATTCCTCACTGTGATCTCGTCTTGCTCACCAGGTTGGATGAAGCATCAGTCGCTCTGCAGAAAGAGAAGAACATGTACAAAGAGATTGAGAACTTCCCAATGTGCTTCAAGGTGGATTTTCTGTCATTAAATTCTCTACGCATCTTAAGCAAGCTTAATTCACCACCACAGTCAGCTAGAATTGAATTTCCAGTGAGGCAATGGTGTAGTGTCTCCGCAGGGTATTTAAGTTGACCTGCGGCCTGGATTCCTCTCAGCTCATCAGTAAACCACAGCATTGTTAACACAGCTCTGTGCTTCAGTATAAACTTGACATTTTGAACATAGTTGTTGGAATATGTTGTAAAATTCAACAGTGTGACACTTTTACATGTTGGTCTGTTTTTTTTCCTTCTTTAGAAAACAACTGCTCAAGTGCTGATTCATCTTCACAGAGGCGACTACGTAGCAGCTGATAAATGCGTCAGAGAAAGTTACAGGTATGTTTTTATCCCAGTCTGTCATCATTTCTGTAAAGAGCCAAAGTGTCCTTAAGCAAGGAGTTTTTTAACGTTGCCTCACATTCATGGTGTAACATTTCTGCCACTTAAAACTGAGCATCATTACATGAAGTGCTGCTTGGTTTCCACCAGTCTGCCCGGGTACAGTGGAAGCGAAGATTGCGTTGCCATGGAGACACTACTGCAGGGCTACGACGAGCAGGACGAGGACCAGGTCTACCGTGTGTGCAACTCACCTTTACTGAAGTACATGGACAATGACGTGAGTGCTGTTGGCAGATAACTGAAAAGAAATGTGCCTGTTTTGTCTAATTTCACATCGAGCTTATAAATTTAAAAAAGTCGAAGGAAAAGCTGCTCTTCCTGTTGACAAAACTCAGAGGAGATCCACTTTATAGTATACAAGGTCATCACTCTGAATTGGATTTAAATTACCAGAGGACCAGCGAGTTCACCAACAGGTTTAGTTATTATACTTTAAGGGTCGAGTGTGTAGAATTTAGGGGCATCTATTGGCAGAAATGTAATACAATATTCACAACTATGTTTTTATTAGTTTATAACCACCTGAAAATAAGAATCATTGTGTGTTTGTTACCTTGAAATAAACCATTTATATCTACATAAGGATCAGGTACTCTTCGATGACGTCTGCCATGTTCCTACAGTAACCC